AAAGAACATTCATCAGTGGTTCCATTAGTTGAAGAGGTTTTAGAAAGGTGGTTACAATATGTATTTGCATGACAAATGACATTAACAGATGAGGTTCTTTTAGAAAAGACAAAAAGCATTGCTTCTAATGTTGGAGAACAAAATTTTCGTGGTTCACATGGGTGGTTAGCACGATTCAAGGCTCAGCATAGAATAAAAGCATATGTAAGGGTTGGTGAAAGTAATAGTACACTACCAAAAACTAAAATTAATGCAGAACTGAAAGATTATGTGCTATTATTGCACAATATCCACTAGATAATGTTTGGAATGCAAACAAGACAGATATTTTTTAGAAACAGGAGCCAAGAAGAACTTTTGCCACCAGTTTACAAAAAGGCTATAAACTCTCTAAAGAATGTATCACATATCTTGTTGCTTGCAATGCAATAGGTAATCAAAAATTAAAATTAGCATTTATTCATAAATATAAAACACCCCATTCGCTCTCTAATATCAATTATAATAGACTTCCAGTTTCTTATTTTTGGAATAAAACATGTTGGATGCAGGTATAAAGTAATATTTAATAAAAATTTCTAATTGTATTAAGTAATAATTTTACTCTAACTAATATAATTCTACTGAGTATGATTAGAAAATTTTTAATTATACCCAGTAGGTTTGTGCTAATTAGAATAAGATTATAGTATACAACAGCTAAAGATATTTAATTTTTTTAAAAATGCCAATTAATAATTTATAGTATATATAGATACATATAAACTTTAAAGTGTAATAACTCTTAAAATTAAATAAAAGTTTATTCTAACAGAAATGTAACTTAGATAAAAAGCAACAAATTTATAAGAGATTTTTGCTAAAATATTTTGTTCTATAATTATAACTTTATAACACTTTCTATATTTTATATATAAATATTGGATATCTTTGCTGTCCCATACTATACAATTAAAAAAAGTAAATAACACGTACTGAGTTAATAACTAAATTCAAATTAATTTTTTATATAAATTTCAATTTGAACAAGAATTTTAAAGGATTGGGATACAAGGCTTAGTAAATGTGACAAGAA